GTGTGTGTGTGTGTGTGTGTGTGTGTGTGTGGGTGTGAGAGAGTCATTTGATGGATCAATGTTATGGATCCCATCTTTTGTTGGTGCAGCTGGCTTAAACATCCATCTACCAGCTGAGCCCCGTGCGTGCGTGCGTGCGTGCGCAAGTGAGCGAGCGAGTGAGCGTGTGTGTGAGTGCGTGCGTGCGTGCGTGCGTGTCTTGATTATTTATGTGGTCCATTTCTTCTTCCTGTGGTTCCCTGACAGGTGTCATTTTTTTGTTGTGTGTTGTGTGTGTGTGTGTGTGTGTGTGTGTGTGTGTGTGTGGGTGAGAGAGTCATTTGATGGATCAATGTTATGGATCCCATCTTTTGTTGGTGCAGCTGGCTTAAACATCCATCTACCAGCTGAGCCCCGTGCGTGCGTGCGTGCGTGCGCAAGTGAGCGAGCGAGTGAGCGTGTGTGTGAGTGCGTGCGTGCGTGCGTGCGTGTCTTGATTATTTATAGCTGGTCCATTTCTTCTTCCTGTGGTTCCCTGACAGGCTGTCATTGTTTTTGTTTGTGAATGTTTGTGTATTGTGATTTCATGTCTTTCCTGAATCCTGTCATACTGTCATAGGCCTTGAGAAAAACACTAAATCGCACATTTTACAAGCTTCGACCACTCATCAGTGTAACTGTTTGATACATCTCTTAAAATGTTCACACAACTGTTGAGGTCTTTACTTTTCAACCAACATATTAACACATTAGTAATATGTATTTCAGGGTCTGATGAGCTGTAGTTATAGGACTGTTAAAAACCTGCTGAAGGTCCAACTTTCTTACATACAATGAAAGCCACTTAAGGCCATGGTTAAAATAATTCAACAAGACTTCAAACCTTTAGCCATGCCATCCACTCTACACTGCTGTATGCTCCTGAGGTACTGTATTGCCAGATGCTCATGCTAGCATCCCAACTTCACCCACTGACAATGCTTACTTGATGTTTACATAATGTTTGCAATGTCCATCATCATAGTTTAGAGTCAACATGCAAAAAAATCTTATTACTAATCACAAATATCTGAAACTGATGATAAATTAGATGAACAAACTTATTTTTCTGTATCTGGAATAAAATCCAGAATGTACCAAATTGCTGAATTGGTGTCCAAAAAACGCTGAGTTGGGGAACTAAGTTTGGAAAAGAATTGAACTACATGACTGTAGGACACATGTCCACTGTAAATGAATGTAATATTGTTGGAGTTTTTCTTTGTTACGTTCCTTTGATAAAGTTTTCTCACCAATACATGTGATTTTTTTGATCCAGCAGATGTCGCCCTTGAGCACCAGCATGAAACCAAAACAACTCGCAGTGCATTGTTGTGTTAGCATGCTAATGCTAGCGACCTTTATTATGCTGGTATCTTCACACTGCATGTAAATTTACCTGAAATGAGCGTGATCTAGAAACACAGTTAAGCAGTGAGTACAGTATGTTATTCTTCTTTTCTCTAGTCCCTCAATTAAACAACTTTTATACGTGAGGGGAGGAGTCAGCCGGCCGTCCCAACGATGTAAACAAAGTGAAGATAGGACTCTGAAAACTCTGAAAACATCACAGACAGTGGGACTCGGGTGTTACACCCATTGTAGACAGTCATGACTCACAGAGTTATTTTCAGAGGAGATACTTGATTTCTACATTTAAGTGTGAAAAATCACAGAAAACTCTAGAAAACCATCTCAGAAGCTTTCTGTCAACAGAAGTTTCAGATTTTTCCAAAACCTATAAAATATCTCTTTCAGAACGTTAGGTATTTTTTTTTTTAAATCTTCATTCAGAAACTTTCTTTTGGTATTTTTTTCTAGGATTGAACATTTATATTCTTTCTTTCTTCTTTCTTTCTTTTTCAGTGTTACACCTCTTTCAGGTTTTTTTTCAGATTTTTCCAACATATATCTCTTTCTAACTTTATTTTTTTTTTAACTTATTCAGACTTTCTTTTGGTATTTTTTTCCAGGATTGAACATTTATATTCTTTCTTTTCTTTCTTTCTTTTTCAGTGTTACACCTTACCCTTCAGACTTATAAATATCACACACATTAGATAGAATCGAGTATAAACAGAGAGAAAGAGAGAGTAGTGACCTCCAGCGTCTTTATTAATCAGCTACTCACACTCCTCTGACGAGTTCATTTTGCGGCTCTGGATCACTCTTCCTCTTCCTCTTCCACATCCACTTTATGTTAATAATTGGCTTAAACAGCACACATATGGGACCTGTGGTTTTGGATGCATTACCCTCAGTGTCAAGGTCACCTCCAGTAATTAAAGTGTCTCATCTGTCTGCAGGCTGCTCTCTGACTGTCTCACTGCCTGTCGTTAAAAACGTGACAGGGGGTTAGCACGCCGTTTCTGTTTTACAGCCTTTTAACACTTCCTGGAAGACCCTCTATAGTGATGCAACCGGGCCTGACAGAGGGCCAAAAACTGCTGTCGTCAGCTGTGTGTGTGTGTGTGTGTGTGTGTGTGTGTGTGTGTGTGTGTGTGTGTGTGTGTGTGTGTGTGTGTGTGTGTGTGTGTGTGTGTGTGTGTGTGTGTGTGTTTCTGCTGCTTATCGGCGTGTGGTGGAGGGATTATTTTGAGTGTTTGTGGTGGGTGTGGTTCTCAAGGCATGAAGAGAAGAACCATGTGTGAACTGACGATAGTACAGTAGGTTTGAGTTCTGTGTGTGTACAGTAATGGGTCTTTGTGATTTGACAGCAGCTGGATGTGGTTGGGGATTTCTCTGTTTACAGTATATGTGTGTGTGTGTCTTGGTTTCAAGCATTCCATGGGGAGTCTTTGGGGGCTGTCTCTGTGTGCAGGAGGGTTGATTTGCGTCCCCTAAAGATTGAACCAGAGGGGGGGTTTAGCAGGACATACTGCTTGCTCATGGCTTTTTTCTGCAGCTTAAAGTGATTAGCTCCCCACTCTGTCCATATTGTACCTCTGAAAGCTCAAGATTAACACAGGGCTGTGTCACAGATCTGCAGGTTTGTTTATACTGCTAAATGAACTGTAGAATTCAGTTTTCTTACATTTTTTATCAGTGCTGCAGCAGAAGCATATAAAAAGTGGATCTCTGCTAATGAGCCATGGTGCTCGCAAGACTTTCTGCCATTCTGCTGGAAAACAACTTCCAATGACACTAAATTTAAAACACTCTGCCGTCATTCTGTCACCAAGTTCAAAGATGTTCAGTCTGCTCGCCTTTTGGACTCATCTAATCAGGGATTATTTTACAACTGGGAAGTCAGGTGAAAGCAATTGACTGTAGTGAACTACCTGTCAGGACAGAGGACTGTGAGTCCCGCGCTGCAGGATTAACAGCTGATGTAATAATGAGTTATCAGCCAGAGTCTGCCTTATCATCACCGGTGGCTCAGCTTGCTCCAGTTTCTCTCCAGAACAGAACTGTGCCTTTCCCTGCCTCATTGCGGATTTTCTAGTGCTGCCATTGATGTGTTTTTGTATTTGTCCTCAGGGTTTATGTTTCAGTTTAACATTTCTGTTTAGTTCCACTCTGTAAAGTTGTATGAACATCTTGTTTGTTTTTGAAGTATTGGACGATAGATTTGACGAGGTCTGTTCTTCTCCTCCTGCAGTTAAACGTAATGGTTTGGTCTGAACGGGTAATCACGAGTAATATGACCAACGTTTAATGACTTTCTTACACTCTCGGGCTTTCAAATGAAAGATATAAAAGGGTGTCTGTCTGTACATATCTCAACCATAGACAGTTTGCTTTTCTCAGTGCAGAACATTTTAAAATTATTTGACCAAAAGACAGAAGAGAAAGCATTCAGAATGTTTGACTTTGTCTAAATCATCAACTCTAAAGGATCACTCCAGGAGGAAACATACAAGTGATGTCACTTGAGTTGCTGCTGGCAAGGTTGACGTTGTAATGTTTTAAAATGGGAGAAAAGGTGTGATGAGGAGTCAAGATAAAAGTGAGCTTACCAGACCTCTGTAGCCCCCTCCTCATGGCTAGAGTTTACCAACAAACCTGAATCTACAGTTTAGTGTATTCAGATGAAGTTGCATTGTGGTTACTCGGGATGGAAAGTAACGGCACATGGAATAAAAGCAGAAAATATCTATGTCATCCTTTCCCAAACTTAAGACTGCCGCGGCCTGCTTTGAAATACAAAATGACTCCGGGCCCATTATAATTTTTTTTTTTTTTTTTATATGACTATTGCTATAACTTTCAGTAAGGGTAAATTATTGGACATGACAACATGATATTATGGCAAAGATAGACACCAATGTTTACTGAACATTATGTCCATGAAAAGTCATTACAGGCCTTACTAATCACTTAAAGGGTTGACTCATGCTTAATCATCATTATTGTGATATTTATTTTATTTTTAAAATTGGTGGAGGGCTTTTCGGGGCCCATCTGCAGTACCCACACGGCCCATCAGGGGGCCGTGGCCCACACTTTGGGAAGCACTGATCTATGTACTTGCTGCATACAGTTTTGAATGTTTAAAAAGTGGATTGTGAGATTTACAGTTTCGTGGTCAGCTGACTGAAGAAAATCAGCGTAACTTTGCCTCGCTGTAATCCCCTCTTTGTGAGGACTGACGTGATCTGACTTGTGTTTTGTGTGAGCAGTGATGATGGAGGTAAACAGTAATGTTTTAACAACACACTCCATACACGTAAAGTGAGCTCAGATTCACAACAACAACATGTTCTTAATGTCTTTGCAGTGTCTTTCAGGATTATGAATAAACAGTCATAGCTTAGCGGCGGGCGTCTTTTCCATTATCCGGCGGTCATTATGTGCTGTCATATTCTCACGGTTTCTAGTTTGCACTTGAAATGATCTTGAGGTCAAAGCAGAGCGTGTGTCTTGTACTGTGTGAATCACATTGTCATGCTTAATGTGCACATCGTTAAAAACCGTATAATTTTTGATATATGGCGATGTAATCGTCCCACTGACACATTCTTTCGCTCTTTTCTTCCCAGGATTCGTCCTCAGATGGCCAAGGAGAAGATCGAGGGCTGCCATGTGTGCACGCTGGTCACACCTGGAGAACCGCAAGTCCTGCTGGGAAAGGACAAAGCATTCACGTACGACTTTGTGTTTGACATCAACTCCGAGCAGCAGCACATCTACCAGGCCTGCGTGTACAAGCTCATCGAGGGCTGCCTGGAGGGCTACAACGCCACCGTGTTCGCATATGGGCAGGTACGACACAGAGCCGTAGATTTATTGTCTAAGGACATACACTAAGGTTTCATAGGTTTTGTTATTTATCTTTTGTATGTAGTGAATAGGCTGTATCCAAATGTTTTTATGACCATGTGGTTCTATGAGAGTTTTGTTTTTCTTCTTACAGTAAGTTCTCGAAGTGACACTAAAAAAACTAACATGGGAGCAAATAAAATACCTAACTTAGTCTGTTCTTTATCCCATCAGTGATACACATGTTTCAATAACATAAAGCTCTCATGGAAGAGAACAATGTTCAACTTATGTGTCATTGGATCTTTCAGCTGCAAACATGTGGAACCTTACAGTCAGCCATTTTTGTCCAATATACTTTGTTGTTAAAACAGAACAAACTGTAATATTGTACAATGTCATGCTTATAACATAGAAATAGGATTAGCTTATCTAATTAGTATGGGCACGGCATGTTTTTTATACATGTGTAAAACACAAGAATATACCCACACTTCAAAAACAAATCAACAACACCCCATCACACAAAATGTAAGATGTGTGATGTCTTCTCCTACCCTCACAGGAAGTTATCAAAAATAGTCCATACATTCCAAAACTTGTCAAGTTTGTTTTTTGAGAAACAGCTTATCCTTTTAAGAAGAGGAAAGAGAGTCATTCCTTTCAACCACTGAGAGACTCCACAGGTTGTCTGTTTCTTCCATGAGCAAGCAATGCATCGTTTGGCCTCCAGGAAACAAACATCGAATAGATACTTGACATTATTTGAAAGTGCAAAATCATCAGGATAGATGTTAAGAATACACAGTTTAGGGTTAAGAGGCGACTGCACGAGTCCAACACCTTCTCCCAGAAGCAGATTATCAGTGGACATTCCCACAAACAGTGAAACAGAGACAGATGTGTGATGTCTGGAGGACCCTGAGAAAGGATTTCTGACTTCATTTGTTTTAGACGGGTTCGGGAAAGACCTACACCATGGGGACGGGCTTTGATGTAGGCCTGAGCCAGCAGGAGCAGGGCATCATCCCGCGGGCCGTTCATCATCTGTTCGAGGGGATCCAGAGCCGGAGGGAGCGCGCCCAGCAGGCCGGCAGCCAGCCGCCCGAGTTTAAAGTCAGCGCCCAGTTCCTGGAGGTGGGTTTCACACTCAGAGAAACATGTGTCACCACACTTTGATTGCAGCTTATTGATCTGACATATTAACAGTGCTGTAGATGATGATCTGGCGTACACATGTACACGTGGATGCTGCTCCATGTTTCCTCTTACCAGATGGGACAAAACTGTGAGACAAGAGGATCAGCCCCCTCTCCTATAAACAGAGAGCGACGGCTCGATGACAGATGGGCAGGAATGTCTGCTTGTGCTTTGTTGGTCCTGATTAATGTGTGCTGTTACCTCAGACATTATTCCTCATCACTGTGGGGAGGAAGACAGATATGAGCGAGGGATAAGAGGGAGGGCTATGTTAAAAAAATGTAACATAGCCTAATAAAAAAAATAAAAATAATAAAAACAATAATAATTTATACAAATATACAAAATATACCAAAAATAAGGCAATTTTAAGGCAGTAGAGTGCAAATAGAAAATTTAAACTGTAAAAACAAATATGAATACATTTTTCCTTCTTGCTATCTCTTGTTTGATTTGTGTCTGTCTTACTCTTTTTTTCTTGTGGGTTTTCTGGACTACTCAGGTCAGGAGGTTATCTCTGTTGATGGTAAACAGATGTGTGTGTGTGTGTGTGTGTGTGTGTGTGTGTGTGTGTGTGTGTGTGTGTGTGTGTGTGTGTGGCAGGTGGGAACGACTAAGCTTTCAGCTGACCCTGTGCCCTTTGTTTCTGAAAGGTCGTTCTTTTTGACCTGTGTGTGAATGAGAAACACAGCTGTGAGTCAAAGGGAGAACAGACTCCTATAATCAGTCCTGTTAAAATGTCCTTAAATACATTCTAACAATGTGATACCTTTGTGTTTGTGATCCATGCAGTTGTACAACGAGGAGATTCTGGACCTGTTTGATGGAACCAGAGATCCAGAGAGCAGGAGCAGAAAGTCCAACATAAAGATCCATGAGGATGCCAGCGGCAGCATCTATACCACGGGTGTCACCTCCAGACTGGTGCACTCAGAGGAGGAGGTATGTGTATGTGTGTGTATGTGTTTGTGTCAGAGTGTGTGTCATCTATTATCATAAGCAGTAACCATCCTTCTTTTTTTCTTCATCAGTTTTTTTTCATTGAACAGCATGTTTGTACCCCGTGTGTTTAAAAGCAGT